CTGAGCCACCCAGGCGCCCCAGAATCAGTTCATTCTTGACACTTGATTCAGTCCTTGTCATGCTCTGTGTGGGACCCAGGACCCATTATCTGGGGTAATCGCCTTATTCACTGGACTTGGCGACACCTAATACAGCTGTTTTCCAAAAATCAAATCTGCACTCAAAGAACAACAACTTGCCTTTTTCAAGGACATGCAGGCTCTGAGGGGTGGAGTGTTCTGGAAAGCGAAGCAGCATCCTTGGGAGAAAGCTGGCAGTAATGGAATAACCCGTTCCCTAAGGTGACAGTTATATAGAAGGGAGAATGCTAATTTCCAAGTTATTACTATTGAGGCTTATTAACCATGCAATTTATTCAGTTAAAAATATTTATCGAGCTGAGTGTCAGTTTTGTGACAGACACTGCCTTAGGGGCTGGAGCTAAAGCAGTGAACAAGCAGATGCACACCTCTACCCTCATGGAGCTTACTGTCACGTGTAGGGAGGCGACGACAAAATTAACGGGCCACACAGGCACTGGATGGTGATGAGGGTGAACTAGGCAGAGGATGCTGGGGGGAGGGGCGGTCTTCAAACAGAGACTGTTCGGGGAGGTGTCCCTCAGAAGGGGACATTGGAGTCAAGACCTGAAGGAGGTGAGGACATGAGCCATATGGATGTAGTTAAGCTGCTGAAAAGGATTTTGCAATGAGAAAAAAGGAATCCTCACTGCCCCACCCCTGCCTTACAGCTTCACCCACAATCTGGGACCTCAGCTCGTGCATACACACACACACACACACACACACACACACACACACACTCAGATGCCCTAGGGCTCGAGCGGGCACGCCATTTGCATTCTTCCTCGAGTCTATCAGAGCAAACATTTGCCAGTGTTTTGTCAGTCTTTATGGTTGTAGTCTTAATGGATGCATAGTATTTGTTTAGACCCAGGAATTGGGACTCAGTAAACCAATCCCCTATTATTAGCTGTCTCTCGATTTTTCACAGCAGCAGAGAAGCCTACAACCGAACATCTGCTTGTCAATAGTTTTTTTTTTTTT